CTTCTTTTTAATCGTATGTATGGAATTATTGTTTACATGTAAAAGGAAAGCTACTGAAGAAAGTCTGTTACTACCGGCGTTTATTACCTCATAACTTTTATGATGCATAGCATTAAGCACCTGGACATTCTTAATCTATTGACACTGATTTAAATTTTTGGATTTAGATGCCTTTAAAAGTGTTAGGGGTTTTTTCCTATTCTGGTCATGTGACTGGTCAAATATGGCCGTCATTTGAAACTTTGGCAGGACTCTTCAATAGGACAAACCTGTGCAAAAAGCTTATCCTTAGGAGGTCTGGTTTTCAAAAAAAAATGGTTAGAAAACTTCCTTACGGCAACAAATTCATGGCCAATTTTTAGTTGAGAAGGACCCCTTTTAGATAAATGTACATGTACTTACATCTGAGTTGCTTCAATTTCAGAGACCAAACACCAATCTTCTTCTTACAGGATCCTATATTAGACCTAGAGGTAAGAAAAAATAATGCAGATTAGTAAAATTCTACTNAATACTGCAGTGATCTTTCTCTTGCAGGAATGTATTTATGAAATATTGTATAATTTAGAGGTGTACAGCAAAATCAATGTACCACACTAGCTATACATACATGAGTGATAGACACATTCAGCTATAAAAAAAAACACTTGTTGAATATTCTTTGAAGTTGTTAAGAAACAGAAAAAAGTGTGGAAACAGATCTTGTGTGCAATGAGCCTCACTGGAACAAGCAAATGTTTCCATTTCTTAAAAACTTGCCAGCCATAAGCAGGGTAGCCCCATCCTTACCCAGACACTGCATGTGATTACCAAAGATTTAGAACAGGATCAATTTTACACAAATATTACAGCAGCTTATAACAAATGTACAGGTACTTACATCTGATTTGCTTCAATTCCAGAGACCAAACACCAATCTTCTTCTTACAGGATCCTATATTAGACCTAGAGGTAAGAAAAAGTAATGCAGATTAGTAAAATTCTACTACCAGTATGATGCAAATGCCACAATCTGATTGGCTGAGCTATTGTATCTTTTAAGCCATTGGTGTACCATGGCTGGAGGTCATCTACGAAATGGTGATGATTTGTATGTTGTTTTCCAAAACAAAAGTTTTTTTTGGCAGGAACATTATTTTGGAAAGAATAAGGTAACAGATCATATTCGTATTCTCGGTATTGGACTGGAACTAGCTTGAAATGGAGGCTCATGCGGGGGAATATCATTAAAAAGAGA